ATGCGTCCTGCTGACGCCATCATGGTTTTTGCCATGGTTTGTGACAAAGACGTAATTTTTCCCCATCAACTTTCACAGCCCCTCAAAATTCCGCAGACCTCTTGGAGGCCTGTGGGCCCTGGATTAAGACACCCCTTGTCCAGTGATTGTTGCCTCTGCTCCCACTTCTGTTCAGCCCACAGACAGGTGGAGAGAGGGCATTGAGAGTACGCACACAGGTGTGGGCCCCTCAGGAGCATGGAGATCAGCAGAGCCACACTCAGACCCAGCGGTGCAGGCTGTCCCCTCAGAGATGATGCTGTCAGCCCGGTGCTTCTCCAGCCAGGGAGTCTGTCTCTGACAGGGCCACCAAGAGCCACTTCACAGCAGCGTGAGTCCGTCCTTCTCCATGGTGTCACTCTCCAAGATGAGGAAGTGTCCCCAGATATCCTTTATGCCACTTACCCAAACCTTCTGTGCTCCGTCTGCACTTTCTTCTATTCTCTGTCTACACATTCACTTCCTCCAGGAGAAAAGCACTTCCATATTCCAGCCAGACTTTGTGCCCAGGGTTCAGATGCACAATTCCACGTGGATGTCCAAGACTGGATTTGTCCTCTTCTCCTCAAAATCGGTTTTTCCTCCTCACTCTCCTGACTTTTCCCCTCCTGGCTTGTTAAGAGCATCACCAATAACTATGGACAGACACCTCAGACTTCGCAGCACCCCCTCCCTTCCCAGCCTCTACCCCTGAGCCCAAGAGTTACCAAGTCAGGAAGCTCCTGTGTTCACAGCATCCAGCCTGCCTCTCTGTCCTACCCTCATTTCTGCCAGTGAGTTCACAACGTAACCTGGTCACCGCCACTCCCAGCCCTGCTTCTCGGGTACTCAGAGACATCCTAACACACACGCCTGCCGACTTATTTTCCCGCAGAGCAACTCTGATGATATTAGCTTCCTGTTCAAAAATGTTCAGTGGTTCCCACTGTCTCCTGAACTAAGGACAGACCCTGACTTACCCACCATGGCCCCAGACTCCCAATTCAGCCACCTGTCTCATCCTGTGCTACAGTTAAGCTCGATAACTTTTTGTTCCCTGAAACAGGGAGCACATACTTTATCTCATTCATATTCTGCCGTGTTGCCTTTCTCCTGTGATACCCTCTTTCTGGAATGTGTTTCTCCAGAAACTTCTCTTGTTGAAACCCAACCGTTCCTTCAAAGACCAGCTCCAGCAACGCCCATATTTGGAGATTGTCTTGATGTGCTTCCATGATTCCCAACTGAAGAGAACCCCTCCCCACTTTCAGGCACTGGGGCATTTCTCCTAGCACGTCTGTCTCTACCCTTTATGATGACCCTGTGTGTTCACCTCACACACGGCACTGGTTCCTTACAGGTAGGGGCTGCTTTGATTTACGCTCGTCCCTCGGTTGTGCTTGGCATGACATCTTTTGCGGACATGTTTTCAGTGGAACCAAGATGATTCCTATGCAAAAAATGAACTTGCAGGAATGACCTGCCTTACGTTTTTCATGAACCACCAGAGGATAAGCTAGCTAGCAGGTGTTCACTCACTCTACCCTGTTGATTACTTAGTGAATTTTGGTGACACTGTACTTGCACCTGGCCTTCACCTACACAGATGAATGGCCTAGAGTGTCCTTCTCCCCAGCCACCCAGCCGTTGTGCTGACCAACTCTTCCTGGGCCTTCAGGGCTCATTTTGGTCCATACGTGCTTCAGGAAGTCTTCCCAAACCCCAAGTTGGGCTTCGTGGACATTCCACCTGTGCAGTCCTATGGAGCCCAGAACTTTGAAAGGTGCCACACTTGGTGTCATGCTCTGCTGTCACCATCTTGAAATTCTTAATACTTTTTAAACAAAGGGCCCTCACGTTTTCACTTTGCACTCAACTCCACAAGCGAAGTAACCAGTCCCGCCTAATCCCTCCCCCCTTGTGTGTTCCTGGCGTCCCCTGTACCTTCCCTGTCCTTGGAATCATCACGCAGAACTTTAATTTTCTTTTTACATCTGTTTACTACCCTGTATGCCTCAACAGATCCTGAACTCTGAGAAGGCAAGAAAAGAAAATCTTTTTTATTGTTATATCCCTGTGGCTCAGCCTGGTATTATATGCTTAATCAATATTTGCTGATTGGACAAGTGGATGAATGGTTGAGGAAAGGAAGGAATTCATTAATGAATGTATTTGTTCATCAAAGCCCCTCAGGCAGCCAGGGCAGTGCAGGTATTTGGCTTGCTGTAGTCAGGTGGGTCCCCATAGAAATAACAGAATTCTAGCACAGAAGCTACTCTTACCAGAAAGGGGAGGGTAAGATCAGCTCAAGGAAGAAAATGGGCAAAGTAGTGACATGAAGGGAAAAGATTAAGCAACACGCAAATGTTAATGAAGAAGCCGCTAGCAAAAGGGCTTGTGATGTAGGTCTTTTTGGTTTTTATTGTTTTTGTTTTTTGTTTTTAAATAGGATTTACTGCTTTTTTTAATTAATTTATTTATTTAGGGCTGTGTTGGGTCTTCATTTCTGTGCGAGGGCTTTCTCCAGTTGTGGCGAGCAGGGGCCACTCTTCATCGCGGTGCACAGGCCTCTCACCATCACGGCCTCTCTTGTTGCGGAGCACAGTCTCCAGACGTGCAGGCTCAGTAGTTGTGGCTCACGGGCCCAGTTGCTCTGCAGCATGTGGGATCCTCCCAGACTAGGGCTCGAACCCGTGTCCCGTGCATTAGCAGGCAGACTCTCAACCACTGTGCCACCAGGGAAGCCTCTGTAGGTCTGTTTTGAGCAAACACGGAGATCATGAGGCCGCCGTTGGGATGCCCTTGGAAGAAGGTGTCTTAGTGACTGAGTCATCCCCTGCTTGCTTCTCTGAATGTTTTCTGCTGAACCTGGACTCAGGAGGCATCTACAGATAACAGCCGCTCACTGGAGGCAAACATCTGTCACTCTTTACTTGATGCCACTTCATCCTCCAAACTCCCTCAGTGATCCCTGGATTTCACTTTCTCGTGAGTAGTTCGGGGGTCTGTAGGTGCGCTGGAATTTGATGTCTAGTTTACAATTCCCAGTCTGCTAGGGCCAATTTAAAATATAGTCCAAACAATCCTGAATCATCAGGTACATGAGACAAAAGTATGATGAGTTGTTATTAACTCACGTACCAGGTTTTCTCCCTAGTAGAGTCCTTCCTCCTGAAGGCTTCTGCTGTTCAGAATAACTACCTCCCTCTCAGTTGGAAGAGATAGAGAAGTACCCCCAGAAGTCTTGCTGAGCCAAGAACATCACTGCCGTCCTCCTCTGTGCTCCTCAGCGACACCATGTGGCAACTCAAGGACACACAGTGCTTGAACCCCTCTTCCTGCCAAGCAGCCAGGGACGAGTCACAATATGTTCTTAATTCTCAGTTTCCATATCTGCAAAATGGGAACAATGAGATTTCTACTGCGTACATTTGAGAGGATAATGTGGATAGTGCATGTGAAAGGGGCTTAGCTCAGTATCTCGCTTATACGAAACCCTCCGAATGTGAGTAATTATCAGCATATCCACTTCGGGTTCTGTGCTGAAATAGATATAAAGAAATAAGGAATACATGGTATCAATCAGGAGTCAGCAAACTTTCCTCTAAAGGCCAGAGAGTAAATATTTCAGTCTTGTGCTTAGAGCACAAGTCTCAGTTCTGCGGTTCTTTTGTGAGCGCAGCCATAGGGAATACACGGGTGAACGGGTGTGGCTGTGTGCCAATAAAACTTTATTGGCCTTGGGCTTCCCTGGTGGCGCAGTGGTTGAGAGTCCGCCTGCCGATGCAGGGGACACGGGTTCGTGCCCCGGTCCAGGAAGATCCCACATGCCGTGGAGCAGCTGGGCCCGTGAGCCATGGCTGCTGACCCTGCGCGTCCGGAGCCTATGCTCCGCAACGGGAGAGGCCACAACAGTGAGAGGCCCGCGTACCAAAAAAAACAACCACTTTATTGGTCAGATTTGTCCCCAGGCCATAAGTCACCAATCCCTGGCTATCAGCCCTTGGTGGTAGAAAGACGTGCAGATTCATCAGGGCAGGTCAAGAGGAGGCAGAGGCCAGCTGTACTAAAGAACACAGAGCTGATGTTTTATAGGAGATTGTAGAGTAAAAAGTGAGATGGGTACGATGTGAGTAAAAGTAAGAAATGTGACTTTTAGGGAAAATAGCTCAGATATTGGGTTTTTTTTTTTTTTTGAATTGCAGGATAAGTAACTTCAACTTTAAAACTGAGCCTGCCCTTTTTATTAGACGTTTACTTTGGGAACTCGGCTCCACCCCCCCACTGGACTCCAGAAGTTCCGTATTTCGAGGAATAAAAATGTCTGTAGATGGACTAGTGGAAAATGCTCTCTGTCACTGCAGCACAAGTAGGGCTGGGGGCATTTCTCTAGGGATTTGACCGGAAGGGAATGGAAAGCACATGGGTAGCAGAGGAAGTCATTTTCTATTCTTATTATTACTATAAAGAAATGGCAGATGAGAATCCAGGAACAACATTAGACTCTGAAAAGGAGCCAGTAGCTTAGTAAGCACTTAGAACCCTTGACAGTTCACCAAAGCTGCCGAACGGGGGCATGAGTCTGCTCCTTTGACAGGAGAGCAGCTACCACTTATGGTCCCGAACAGGAGAACAAAACACATCTGGGCCTTTCAGGACCCCTGCTTGGGAAAGCCCTTTATAGGAAATTTGCAGATTCTTAGCTGTGGACATTTAAGTACAGCACGCAACACACACGCATACATACACATGCACACACACATTCATCCTTCTCATCAGTAAAGTTGCAAAGGAGCCCCATTTGCACTGGACATCACATTGTATTTTGATATTCAAAATGGCTAGTCCCTTTTAGGGCTGTTATGATTTAATCAGTGCCAATTCAAATGGATCTGGTGCTTTAGCCATTAGAAATAAGAACTTAAGTCTGTCATGCTAAGGCAAGTTTCTCATCAAATTTCTCTTTTTCTGTTGTTTTACAGTTTTCTCCTTGTCTTTGGTTGCTTGATTTTGTCAGTGTTTTCCACCATTCCCGAGCACACAAAGTTGGCCTCAAGTTGCCTCTTGATTCTGGTAAGTGAAACATATGAACAAAAATGTACATAAAGTTTACATAATACAAGAATTGTCTATAATATTTATGCAATGCATTTAGTCCCACGAAAAGTTATCTCTAGTAAGAAGAGAGTTTCTGTGAAGTGTAAAAGTTTCAAAGGTCACTGAAACATTTGCCTGCCGTTTTAACCTTTAGTCAATCCCCAAGAATACATAGAAATAGTCTAGATTGCTATTACTTAGCAGTATCATGTGTTATAGTTGCATCGTAAGTAGAAGGCAATACTTGGAAGCAGGTTTAATTATGTTTCTCTATGGTAATAAATTACAAGAAGAATCAGCATCTCTGAGGTCTCTTACAATATTGCTAAAAGTTACAGGGTAGAGAGTGTTTTCCAGTAACCACAATTTAGCAGTAACTATGTATAGTCGGCCAAGAACCATGAGCATATGGCACCTCCTAAGAAAACAGAAGGCTTCATGCTCTTTTCAGCCAGCAGACTGCATTATGAATTTTGCTGCTAATGAAGTTACCTGGTGAGAAGTTCTGCAGTTTGCTCTGTTTCCATTATGCTGTCAATCCTCAACCACAGAGAATTGCTCAGTTCATTTTAAAATGGAAAAATACCCCAAGATATTTTAGTCTGAATTATTCTGGGCCTTTTAAACTCTTATACTTTCTATTACAACTGAACTATAGCGCTGTATACTCAAATCACATCTGATTGAAAGTTTGGTTCATTTACATCCATTTTGACCCACTCGGTTCCAAAAATCAAACTTGACAGTCTCAGGACTGTCTGAATGAACTATAAATTGGAACAACTCACTTTTTCCATAAAACCTGCTTGACTAGAGAGGAAAAGAGAGAACGAGTGGGTGGGGTAAGATGGCCATGTGCCTTAATAAATAGAAATTGGTTATGCACAGCAGTGAGCATTTAATACAAGGAAAGTATTCTTACCTTGAAGGTGGGAAGTGAAGGATGTCAGCCCGTACAACCTGGGCAGCTGCTCTTTCCCCTATGCTCGCAGAGGCTGGTTTGTGCTTAGAGTGCCAAGACTTCATCAAGTCTCTGCCCTGTGACAGGGAGAAATCACTTTTGAACCTGGAACAAATCTGTCCCAATTCGTCTCCATACAAATCGTGCTCAGCGGTATATTGCTAATGTCAAGGTTACTATGTTGAAACCCAAGATAGAAAACAGATAGACCGAAGAGCCCACTGGAGATTTGTTCCATTTACAAGGTTCCATTCGGGTAGCAAGTGGGCTTTTAGCCTCATGCACCCCTTTGATAACAACAAATGGTCTGAGCCAAGGTCTAAGGCAGAGCTGTCTTTGGGGTACATATACAGAACTACAGCTAGGAATTTTAGATCGAAAATATAAATCTGATTTTTAGACCTGGGAGCATGAAAAACTGGATTTACTGCATGACCAATGATATATATTATGAGTAAATCAAGCATTAAGAATCTTGTAAAAAGGTTTCTTTTATAACCAGGTCAAGAATCCAAAATATGAGGTTTACATCCTCCAAATCTCTGAAATATAAATTCAGTCACTGCTAATGAGTTTCTAAATAATCCAGAGAAACTCACGTTATTCAAAAGCCCAAAGCTGGTTAATATCATGATTTTTAAAACTTCCTGAGCAGTGGACAACTGACCAGAGTTCAGTAACTAGAGTGCATGTGAGCAGATAAAAATGTAGACGTTTTACACATCACTCATCTTTTTTATTTTGCCAGCTTTATTGAGATATAATTGACATATGATATTGTGAAAGTTAAAATGTGTAACGTGACAATTTTATATACATACATATTGCAAAATGACTACCACAGTGAAGTTAGTTAACAGTTCATCACCTCACATGGTTGCCATTGTGTGTGTGATGTGTGTGTGTGCATGTGTGTGTGGTGTGTGTGCGTGTGTGTGTGTGTGTGTGTGTGTGTGGTGAGAACTCCTAAGATCTACTCTTTTAGCAAAATGGTCAAGTGGACAGTTCAGTACTGTTAGCTATAGGCACCGTGCTGCACATTAGATCCTCAGAACTCATTTGTCTTATAACTGGGAGCTTGTACACTTTGACCACCTTCACCCATTTCCTCCACCCACACCTGCACAACCACCAATCTACTGTGTTTCTGCGAGTTCAGGGGTCCCACATAAGTGAAATCATACAGTATTTGTCTTTCGCTATCTCACTTATTTCACTAAACATAATGCCCTCAAGAGCCATCCATGTTGTCACAAATGGCTAGATTTTGTTCTTTTTATGGCTGAATATTATTCCAATGTGTGTGTGATATATATATCACATCACATCTTCTTTATCCCTTCATCTGTCCGTGGACACTTCAATTGTCTCCATGTCTTATCTACTGTAAATAGTGCTGCTGTGAACATCGGCATGCGTGCAGCTTTTCGAATTATAGTTTTCTAGGGATGTTTGCCCAGGAGTGGGATCGCAGGATCATGTGGTAGTTTTATTTTTTATATTTTGAGGAACCTCCATACTGTTCTCCATAGTGGCTGCACCAATTTACATTCCCACCAACAGTGTAGGAGGGTTCCCTTTTCTCCACATTCTGGCCAACACTTCTCTCTCACTTTTTAATAATAGCCATTCTAACAGGTGTGAGGTGATATCTTATTGTGGTACTGATTTGCGTTTCCCTGATGACTAGTGATGTTGAGTTCTTTTCATATACCCGTTGGCCATCTGTAAGTCTTCTTTTACCCCTCAGTCTTTTTTTTTTCCTCTAATGCCCTTGTTTTTAATCAGGTCTATTGAGATACAATTTACATAGAATAAGCATCACCCATTTTAAGTGTACAGTTTCATGAGTTTTTAGAAACACATATTGTCATGTGTATTAGTTTCTTAGGGCTACTGTAACAAAAGTACCACTGTATATATCATATATATTTCATATATGTCATATATATGATAATTATATACATTATTATGTTGAGTGAAAGAATTAGATATCATAGAGATAGTCTTGTGTTTGGCTTCTTTTACTCAACATAATAATTTTGATATTTATTTGTATATTTTTTAATTGAAGTATAGTTGATTTGCAATGTTGTGTTAGTTTCAGGTGTGCAGCAAAATGATTCATATATATATATATGTATATACTTTTTCATTATGGTTTATTATAGGATATTGAGTATAGTTCCCTGTGCTATACAGTAGGACCTTGTTGTTTATCTATTTTATATATAGTAGTATTTATAGGTTAATCTCAAACTCCTAATTTATCCCTCACCCCTCCTTCCCCTTTGGTAACCATAAGTTTGTTTTTCTGTGCCTGTGAGTTTGTTTCTGTTTTGTAAATAAGTTCATTTGTATCATTTCTTAGATTCCACATATAAGCGCTATCATATGTTTCTTGTCTTTTTCTCGTTTACTTCACTTAATATGATAATCTCTAGGTCCATCCATGTTGCTGCTAATGGCATTATTTCATTCTTTTTTTATGGCTGAGTAATATCCCATTGTATATATGTACCACATTTTCTTTATCCATTCATCTGTTGATGGACATTTAGGTTGCTTCCATGTCTTGGCTATTGTGTATAGTGCTGCTGTGAACATTGGGGTGCGTGTGTCTTTTCAAAATAGAGTTTTCTCTGGATATATGCCCAGGAGTGGGATTGCTGGATCATATGGTAGCTCTATTTTTAGTTTTTTAAGGAACCTCCATAAATTGGCAGTACCAATTTACATTCCTACCAACAATGTAGGAGTATCCCTCAGTCTTGAATGCCTTTAGATTTAGCAAAGTAGAAACCAGTCCTTTTATGCAAGTGAGGCCTTTGTATTAAGCAGTGTAGTAAGTGCTGCAGATGGATGGTCTCTGAAAGCCGTTGCTACACGGCTTTCTGTAGGGAGAGAGTTTGCGTATCCTCCTGTTTTTTGCTATAGGGATAAATTGTCAAGGTGTATGTTTTAACCCAAAGTGTAATCTTAAAACCTACCTAAAAATATTTGGACTGTGTTGCGGGTCTAAGGTTTTACTGATGTTACTCTTTTCATCAGTGTTTTCTCCAAAGACTGTTGTGTTTTATTTGGACGAAAAAAGATCAAGTATAGCCTTTGTTTTTTTTCTTTTTCTTATTTAGTAATAAACTGGAAAAGCATGTGTATTTTAATTCTTTTCACTATCAGTTCATATAGTTAATTATAAAAGTTCAATCAGTTGTAGAATACTGGAAAAAGCCAAGAGAAATCTTAATTATTTAGGGACTATTGTATTTATTCTTTTACCATGTGTTTTTGAAACAGTTAATCTGATTTCAGAGTCTGTCTATCCTCTGAATTTAACCAAACAGAATACATAGAACACAATTCTGACTAGCATTGTCTTTAGTTCCCAAGATGAAGCATATCTAAAGAATTGCCATCCAATAGTAATAGGAATGGCTTTTAAATGTCTGCAGCAATTTACAGTGAAGTCACTTTTGTACACTTTTGGTCGCAAATACAGCACAGGTGTAAATTTTGAAGACTTATGTGTAAATCACATATCACAGTTGCATATGTTTTCAAAAGCCTGTCCATTTGAGGGTTTTTTAAACATTTTAAAAGATATTCTCACATTCTAACTAATTCTATTTCTGGCAAGTAGAAGACACCCACGCTTCCGACAGGGAGCGCCTTTAGGCAGACCGGCCCCTGGACAAGCTTCCAGGGTACTCACCTCCTTGATACTCGCGCTTTCCACTTGTTTCCTTGAGCGCACCAGCATGTTAGGTGCACGTGCCTCCTCGCTTCCTGGGGTCCCCACGGAGTCCTCCGCTTTCTGTCCCCCACCCCAAGGGGAGACTCTCATCGTTCTCATCCAGAACTGCACTCCCCCTGCTAGTGAGTTCAGGAAACCACTTCTCTGTGTCTTGGTTTTCTCATCTGTTAAGAGTGGGTAGTAATACCTGCTACTTCATAAAGTTGCGAGGATTAAATCCCAGTGCTTAGCCCTGGGCTCAGCACAGAGAATGCGTCAAAT